TAAAATTTTTAAATATTTTAAATAATTTTTTTTTTACTTTTTAGACATACCTAACATAAATATACTTAAAAAGTAAAAAAATTGTGAAATTTTTTTTAAAAAAAAATTATTACCATTAAAATTAATATACATGTTGCTCTATTCAAAAAAAATTCCTTAAAAGTTCAACAAATATCATTATTATCAAAATATTAAATTTTAAAATAATATAATTTTTAATGTAAATATTAATTTTTAATAAAATTAATAGTTTTAAAATTCTCTCATCAAGATTTATCAAATAAGATCTATATTTATTGTGAAATTTTTTTTAAAAGAAAATTATTACCATTAAAATTAATATACATGTTGCTCTATTCAAAAAAAATTCCTTAAAAGTTCAACAAATATTACTATTATCAAAATATTAAATTTTAAAATAATATAACTTTTAATGTAGATGTTAGTTTTTAATAAAATTAATATTTTTAAAATTCTTTCATCAAGATCTATCAAATATGGTCGATATTGACTATGAAATTCTTTTTTTTTAAAATTATTACCGTTGAAATTAATGTAAACAATAACAGTAACATGTTACTCTGTCTCATAATAACATGTTACTCTATTTGATAATTATTCTATTTAACAGTAACATGTTACACTGTCTCACAATAACATGTTACTCTATTTGACAGTAACATGTTACTCTGGTTCACAGTAACATGTTACTCTCGAAATATTGTCTAAGAAATGAGGGGGGGAAAATATTTTACTTTGTCCTTACTCAATTATGTGTTTTCTCCCTAGAGGGGTTTATGAAGAAAAATAAATTGGACTGTCCTTTTCACCAAATAAGAGTCCGATAGAGGGATTTTGAATAAATTTCCTTAAAAAATATACTAGATAATTAAATTGTACTTTGATTTTTGTTTTTTGTTTTTTTTTGGCTGGATGATATCTTTTATTATTTGGCAAATGCAAATAAATCAAAGAAACAAAATAATGTGATTGGAAATTGAGAGTTAGTAAAATTGCAAATAAATTGTGTAAATGCGTATATGAAACAGCAAATATAGATTACAGTAATGCTGGGTTATGTTTCCATTTTTTGTTTTTATTTTGATGATCTGGTTTAAAAAATTTAATTTTGACAATTAGAAATAACCAATTTTAAGAAATATCAAAAGTTTTATTTTTGAACAAAAACGACGAAAGAGATGTCATGTAAAAAGTTTCAAAAAAAAATCACCAAGAGAGAGAGACAACAGTAACGAATTTACATTATTGAACAGGGAAGACCAAGTCAGATTCCTAGATGACGGGGCTAGGAGTGATAATATCTTAATTTTTTTAACTTTTTTTATTGTTTTAAAAAATATATATATAAAAAAAATAGAGAAGTGATATAATTGAAAAGAAATTAAAAGTCAAAAAGTGACCTGCGAAAATCCAACCTACTCTAAATAGGGTTGGGTATATGGTTATTTGACCTGCGAAAATCGTCCAATCTGAACCGCCCTCACCTATATGGGCGGTTTCGCAAAATTATTAAGGTCGGATGCGGTTTAAGATTTTCCTATTTTGCTGTTCGCGGGTTTTATCAGCACTCACCCACCCGCATTTGTATACAATTTTTATTTTTATTTTTTAAATCTGGACCATCAGATTTTCTTATAAGTTTTGTAAATATATAACCCTAATCTTCTCTTTTCTTACTCACTTTAATCTGATTATCAAACTGGTAAGTTTTAATATTATAACATTATAATAATATCGCACACTGTCTTGTTTGAAATATTTATTATTTAATTGATTTTTTTTTAACTTTTTGTAAATCTAGTTATGTGATTTTTTTTTTCTTTCTATATTAGTTTTTTGACATGATGGATATAAGTGCACTAATTTAGGCTAAGTTTGGCATAACACAAAAAGTCAAAAAGTCACTATCCTATTTAAGGGGTTGTTTGAGATGATCTAAATAAGTATACTTTTTAACTTTTTACGAAAAAACGTGAAATGTGAGTTGTGTTTGAAGTGATGTGGTAGACGGACACATCACCTTTCTACCACATCACTTTAAACCCAACCCATATTTCATAAAAAGTCAAAAAGTGCACTTATTTAGATCATCCCAAACAACCCCTTAGATAAGTACATTTTATTTGAGTCATATCACCTCTTTACTTTTCTGTACATCTTCTCGTAAAAAGTTCAAAATTATACCTATTTAGATCATCCCAAATAACCATAATTTTTTGTAATCCAATTTTAATGGAGAATAGTGTTGAATCTCCCGCAATCAAAAATATTTTAAAAAATTAAAAAAAAAATTTTAAAAAAGCAAAAAAAAATAAATATTTAAAGGTAAAAACTCAATTTGCAAACCGTCCTTACATTCGCGAACCCTATTCATACAAACCACAACTCACATTGCGGCCGATTATAGATTCAATTTTTCCTAAACCACAAACATACGAACAGGTCTAAATCATAAATCGAATCGTTAAAAACCGATCTACGAACACCCCTAACTCTATGTACGTGATAGGGATAAAATCAAACCCCTTTCCCGCTCTCTCTAAATTATTCAATATCACTTTGTTAGTACCTTTCTCTCTTATACCCACTCACACTTTCATATAGGTCTAGAACAATTAAATATAAAAAATATATTTGACATTATTCCGTCAATGCAAAGAGGTGGCCCAATTATTTTTGAGGCCTTAGCCAAGGTTTCAAATCGAGGCCAAGTGACATTCAAATGGCGCCAAGTGACATTTAAATAGGAGGCAGCTGCCGGTGACAATGGTTAGAAGAAGCAATTGACAACAATGTTTGGTGGTGAGAGTCGCCGAGGTGAGATAGTAAAAATGAGGTGGGAGAAAAAGAAAACTTATTTTCAAAACAAATGAAAACCTTTTTTTATAGTTACAAAAATTTTATGATATGTCTATAATGTTTTGAAAACGGAAATTGGTACCCAACAAAATTTTATTCACAATTTAAATTTTTTTATAAACATGAAACGAAAAATAATCATAAGAAACAACATCCAAACTTAGTGAAGAAGTCTCAGCATTATTTTATTCTGGCTAATATTAAAATAAAATTTAAAAAAAAAAAAAAAAAAACCACAGCTCTTGAGTACCAGGTGCAATATATAAAAGTATAAGACGTAACGATATGGCTGTAATTCAGAGTTCCTATGATGAATCATAGGAGTTTCGGCTGCACCGGTCACATACATCTGAGGTTGTTGAGGGAACTGTTTTCGGCTTTGACTTCTGCATCTCTGGCAGATCGATTTGCAAAACGTCGTGCAGTGCCTTTGAGCCCTCTTGGAGCTCCTCCAAACTAAAAGTTCCGAATTAGGTCAGAAAATCACATGATATCAAATATGTAAAAACGAAGTACAAATAGGAAGCTATGGACACTAATTTCTCGTCATACAGTCCATTAATTGTATCTATCTCAGAAATTCAGTTACAGACCGTGCAAAATATAAGTCAGAAGTATTAACAGTTAAAACATGTGAATTCTGCACGGGTGTACGACAAGTTCAGAAATTTAGGAAACATTCAGTACTGGTAAACTGGAAACACACAAGATATATATCAGTAAAACAAAGTCACTGCGCAAAACAAAGTCAACAAACTCTTATATTTACCTCATTTGGTATTATCTCGGGTCTCGTATGTATTCTTTTTAATCTAACTCTACACGCCACTCATGCAATACAGCATTCTCATTTAAAATTTGCTCCTTTTGTCATGTATTTTTTTATGCGAAGTATTTAGTTCCATAAAACAAAGTCACATTTTTGCCGCCAAGTCAAAATCCCTTTTTTTTTTAAATTGTGTGTTCGGGAGCAAGGGGAATTACAACATCCAGGGAAAAGTGGAGAACATAAAGGGCTATCATGGTCAATCCAAATACTTAGTATGACGCTTCACTGAGTTGAGCTCAATGCATCACTTCAAAAGTGGCATGAACAATTGAAAACTTCGGATTGACACAGTCGTCAACAGGGTATGCCCGGTGAAGACGTCACTAAACCATGATGATCCTGTGAATAAATGTAAGATTTTAACATATTGAAACCATAAAACATTCATCAAGCATCGATCCTTACCTCATGCAAAGGGGAGGAGTGAGTCGAACAATGGTATCGTGAGTAGGCTTTGCGAGAATTCCTCTTTCCTTCAACTTTATACATATATCATAAGCAGAGACGGGGAACAAATTCTTGGTGTTAAGCTCCACAGCATTAAACAGGCCTTTTCCCCGCACTTCCTTTATAACATTAGGGAATTGCTGTTGAACCTTGTTTAGCTGATGCCTAAACTCCTCTCCCATTTTTGCCGATCTGCAGAGTAACAAGTAGTGAAGAGAGAGAGAGAGAGACAACAGTAACGAATTTACATTATTGAACAGGGAAGACCAAGTCAGATTCCCAGATGACGGGGCTAGGAGTGATAATATCACAAACTCAAGGGGTTAAGTGTATCTAAGTAGTTTAACAACTTTTCATAGATTGAAGCCTGTAGAGCTGCAAATGAACCAAGTTGTTCATGACAGCATGGGTGTGGCTTGCTAAAAAGCTCATTCATGTGTTGTTCATTAGTGAAATGAGCCGAGCTTGAACATTAGACTAGAGCTCATTAGCTAAATGAGCTGAGTGAAGCTAAATGCCAGTGCAACCATTGCAAGCCCAATAATAAGCCAAGCAAATCAAGTAAAGCACAAGATAAACAATTGATGACAAAACTCAACTTACGAATGCCAAGCACAAGAAATTCACTTTTTGTTCCGCCAACTAGAAGAACTGACATTTAAAATATTAGGGAGTTCACTCAATGTACTAATAGTATATATAATAGAAAATCAAACTTAAAAATAAAAAATAAATCAAATCAAATGAACACTCTCTGAATTTAGTTTCTTCCAAGTGCCCCGTGTCTGATGATTATAGCATAAGTCTTGCTATCCTAAACACCAGGGAATAGGATTAATACCTCTCAGCGAGTCGCTCATCTCTGATAACCTCTAGTGAAGCAGCAGCAACTGCACTAGCCAAAGGATTTCCGCCAAAGGTGCTGATAACAATGTAAAATCAAAACCATGTCAGCTTCTGCAAAATGCAGCCTCATAGCAATATTATGAATGACAGAGTGAAAAAGATAATACAGATCGGACATAAACGGGAGCTTCTATTTCACACACACATTATCTCAGTTCAGAAATCACCTTCCGAACAAAACTTTATGATTCAGCTATATCTCTGGTTGATTTTGGAACTATTGGTTTTCATTTGGAAGTTGATTTCGGAACCATGTAGTTTTGTTTAGAAATCAACCTCCGAATGAAAAATGGTATGTGAACTGAGAGAAAGTTGTATGTGAAAACAAAGCCTCCCCACATAAGCTGATGAACATACCAGTGTAACCTTATAATCTCCTAAATATCATATTTGAACAGTTTCGAGTTGGTCAGGAAGAGCTACTACAAGCCTAATGTTTTGAATCAAGTGACAGTTATATTAGAAGCTAAAATGAGTCCATTCATGATGTTCAAGTAAAGCACAATTCAATAGGGAATTCATGTATTAAAAATAGTAGTCACTCTACTTGGTTTTGGTTTTTAGAATTCATTTTTTCAGAATTTTTTTTTATTTTTCCTTTTTTTCCATTGATTTTTTTTAATATTTTAAGTAATTTTTTTTTTAAAAAAAAATTTAGACACACCTAAGATAAATATACTTAAAAAATATAATTTGTGATTAAATTTAATTATGATTTTTTTTTTAACATATAGCTCGATAGAGTTTAGGATTTATAATTATTTTTGGAGCCAAGCTTTGGCAGAAGTAAAGACCCAATGTTAGGGCTGAGTCGAGTTTAGATAGACACAAAGTCCCTAACTATGTAATGTCGACTCCGACTCGAACTGGGTCCGGCCCGGCCCGACAAATGTTCACCCCTGCTAGAGGTCACCTCTATGTGGTTAAGTTTTTTAAGATAAATTACAAATACACCTTGAGGTGCATGCATAGGCACCCTACTACAAATTAGAGTAATTTTATCATTAAATTTTGTAACATCAACTACAAAGCGTGTAATCTCATCACAAATTTGTGTAACAAAAAATATTGTAACAAAGTCATAAACTTTTGAAACATGAGCCATAAAATTTTAAACATTTTTTTACGCTAATTTTTTTGCGAGATTAAGTATTTTATGGTTGTTGTTACGAAATTTTGTGATAAAATTACGTCGATTTATGGTTAGGTGCACACCGTAGGCTTTCCCTAAAATATATATTTCAGTATAAAAAAATGAATATATTATCTATCTGTCTATAAAACTAACGAATTATTGATGAAAAAATAATAAATATCATGTGAATTCAAATATTGAACGAACTTAAGTATCTTTTGGCAACATCTAACAATCAGTTTATTGACTTATTTGAATCATATCACCTCTCTACTTTTGCACACGTCTTTTTCAAATAAACAAAAAAATCAACTTAAAAATCATATCCAAAACAATCTCGAGTCAAATTTATTTAATTTCAAACTACAGTTTAAATCCTGTTAAAAAAAAAACTACAATTTACATATTCGTTTGATTCATCTTTTCATCACTATTTAGGGAGGAATTTAATAAATTTGAACTTTTGAGAGCCAAAATAACATGAGCAGAGAAATATTCTTATTATTCGGCTAATGATTTTGACAAAATCATTTGAATTTAGACTAATTTAACACAAAATAAAATTAACAAAATTTAAATTTAAAAACTAAAGTGACAAA